TTTAATTACATTTTTATTTATTTATCTCATGTGACTATATGTGCCCTAGCCAGTAACCAATCATACCACAGTGCACAGGTGGAGGTCAGAAGACAGCTCCAGAGTTAGATCTCTTTCCATCATGTGGTCCCAGGGATTGAACGTGAGTCCAAAGCACTGGCTATCTTTAACCCACGAGTTAGCCTGAAGGCCTTTAACCCTGCAAGGATCTCGTAGGCCCTTGCTTTAGTTTTTAGAGTGGTGAATGCTGATAGACGTAACCTACAAAAAAAATCTTGAGGTTCTCAATAACTTGTAGGCCCAAACAGAAATCCTGAATCTGAACCGTTGAGAATTTCTGCCTCCCACAGCTCCTGGGAGACTTTGTGGGCACTAAGTGCAGGAGGAAGTGGCCAGGACTCCCAGGGTGGTTTCTGGGATGATGAAACCTTGGGGTGGGCGTTCTTTATCCACCCTGTGTCTCATTTCCCCTGCTCACACTTTTTTCTTTTCTAAGTGACCAACTTGCCTTTTAGTGTGTGAAATCTCTAGGGAAGTTTCAGATAGAGGAAATAAAAGTCCAGTAGCTACCACCACAAAATATGGAACCTGGCATGCTGATTATTTTAAAGTAAGGGAAGTTGGTGACAGGTGTGGGACAAGGGCTTTACTCTGCTATCCCCTAAGCTGCCTAAAATCCAGAACCAGCAAAGCAGAAAACTTCCTCTGGTCCCCTCGGTCTGTTTCTCCAGCAGCAGTAAGACATTCAGTATCCCTAAACAGCCTTTTGTCACATACTGTCATCTAGTTCTGTCCTATTATATCAGTGGTGGTAGGGACCACAATCGCTGTCACGTTGAGTTTTTAACCTGGGAAAGATCACTAGATGTAACCTACATAAAATCTCTTGGAAGACCTCAATAATTCGTAAGAGCATGCTGAGGTTCTGAAAGCAAAACCTTGAGACTTTTTGCCTGACACAGCTCCTGGCCAGGACTCAGAGAGACACTGGACAAGGAGCAATGGGTGCAGGAGGAAGGCGTGCTGATATAGCTCCTGGTCTCAGATCTTTTCAGATGTCTAAGGGCTGTGGATTCTTCCTGTCCTCTGAGTTCATTTCTCCAGGTCACATTGTGTCAGCTGTTAGGTCCTTCTGCCTGGACATGTGCTTCCTCCCACTGCATGTTTGAATTCTAGAGAAAGACTCTCAGAGTCACTGTGGTCTCCCCGTGTCACACACACACACACACACACACACACACACACACACACACACACACGGCTAGAAAGTCCACAGACAACAAAGCTCATTCTCTCCAGTCCTTACAAATACTGAGGATGATCTCCCTTGTGCTCCGCATGCTGATCCTGCTGATCCCCAGAGGCCTGGCCCAGACCGGGACTCACCTGTGTGAGTGTGGCATCTGGAAGGAGAGGGGCAAGGGCACCATGGGAGTGCAGCCCCAGGGAAGCCACTTCTCTGTGTTTGCCCCATCCCCACCCCTGATGTTCTCCCAGCTGGGCAGCCCCTGCCCTGCTCCCTAGCCCTGTGTCCCCTGTTCCCCTTTTGGCTGCTGCACCTGTCCCCAGGTCGCGGGAGGAGGGGCCCTCAGGCCATCAGCCCCTTGCCTCCAGGCTCACACTCACTGCGATTTTCCTCCGTCTTGTACCATCCTGGCCACCTCAAGCCCAGCTTCATCTCTGTTGGCTGTGTGGATGACTCGGAGTGCCTGCTTTTCCACAGCAAAGCCTCAAATCCACAAGCCTCGAGTCCCTTTATGGCACAGGACCTGGAGCATTTGAACGAGCTGACTCACCTCACCTGGGACATCATAAAAGTAGTCAGAGTGGATCTGAGGATCCTGCTCGAGTGCCACAACCAGAATGAGGATGATGAGGGAGCCTAGGCAGCTGAGGCATGTCAGGAGTCTCCACACATTCCAGTGGCCATGCAAGCATCACCCTCGGTTGGCGAAAATACCAAGATCTCGCTGATGTGGGGAAACCTATGGAAACTTACTGAGGTTTCTTTTCACGCTAAGATGGGCTCTGACCAGTCAAGTTCATGAGGCCTGGACCACAGGTAAGGAGTTGAGATAACTTAAGAGACCATGCTGACCTTGTCTGCAACAGAGTTTCACACCATCCAGTGTGTTCGGCTGTGACTTATGTCCAGACAGCAGCCTCCTCCAAGGCTATAAGTATGTTGCTTACAAAGGCCAGGATTACATCT